TTTCTTAGCTTCTCCCAACTTCAGTAAAATTTATCCTTTGGTCATATCCTAAACGTGACTCCATTTGGTTTCTTCCAACTGCAAAAAGCAATCTTTTATGTGAAAGTTATCGGTATGATTGACCATATTTTTCACAATTTCATTTATAATTAGCTCAGCAGTCATAGCGAGACCAAATTTCACACCACTGAGGCAGCTCATGCAATGGCACTGAAACCAGCTGATGTCCATCTGACTTTAAATTGGGTCCAGATAAAGATTTGCTTGATCCCTGTCCCTGCTGCAAGCTGGTTTGGTTTGAGAACTGTGAAACCCAGTATCACACACAAAAATGGCTAATGCACGTGAGAAGGGAAGGCATCATTTCTCTGCAATATGCTCCATTAATCTTGCTCTCTATGAAGCTTCACATTGGCAAGACAGTGATATGAAGGTTTAAACAGCTCCAGTTAAAGTCAATTAAATTACAGAAAAATAATTACTAATACCTGAACTAGGTGGCTTCATTTGCATTGCTAATGGCATGGGCACAAGGGGAGTGAGGCAGAGAAGAGAAACTGAGAGCCCACAGATCATGGGTCACATGTGGCTCATCAAACATCTGATGTGAGCCTAAATTTGAAGTGTGTAAAAATACTGGAGGAACCTGTTAAGTTAGTCAGTTTGAGAGCAGTGCACAGCTGACTGGACTCCCTGGAATGTGCCACCAACCTGGGAATGGCTGTCCACTACATGTGTATCAGGGAGTTGTAATGGAGCTTCCACACCCTTGTCATTACTTGGACTACAGAATGGGCAATGAGGCAAAAAAAGAGATGTTTTTAACCTCAACAGATACGGCAAATGCTTTTGGGGCACACCCCAGGTGTAGATGATCTTGACAAATTAGGAAAGAATCACTAAGTAAAAAATCTAGTGTAAGACTAGAAAATAGGGACATCTAGAACACACCAGAACTAGACCACCGCAGATCCAGGCTGCCCAACTCAATAAGAACTTCACAAACTGGGAAAGCAATATGAAGAAAAATCTAGCTGAGCAAGGTAGCTTGATTTCAGACAATATCTAACCAGTTTTAAACTGAATTATTTAAAAAAAGGGGTCTAGGGAAACTAAAAAGAGCTCTGTAGACAGCACAAGGAGTTGCGAGAGTTGTAGAAATCCTAGGCTTTGCCTAGTGTAGGGAAGGAGAAAAGTGAAAGCACCTGTGAGCACCTGCTTGCCATGTCCACCAGAAGAGGGCAACTGTCTGGTTTTCAGCAGATGGATACTGCAAAGAAGTTTGCAAAGAAATACCAATTCCTAACCCCTCCCCTCCCAGCCACAGTAAGCACGACTACAGGTAATTGCCGAACACACATACTTTAAACCCAGGTTAAAGAGATGTCTCTTAACTTGGAAGTGTTTTAGTGGAAGGGTGGGACCAACCATTTAGCAAGGTCCTGGTGTCTTTAGTGCTGCTTCTGTTACTGAAGGTACAAGCAGTGGTCATTTTTTAGGTTCTCTGGAGAAAGAAAATTAAGAAGTTGGAGAATGCAGCATAGCAGCAATAAACACGGTAATTAAATCCGTGATCTCCTTCAGTGACATCCACAATGGCACAGCAGCAGACTGCCTGCAATGGCATCTTCCTTCTTACATCTGCATGAACAATTACACCACAACCACAGACTCCTAACTGGCAAAGATTTCTTTCTTAAATAACTAATGCAAATTTAGTAGCCAAATGCATCCAACTTTCTCAGAATCACTGAGAAATACCATTCTGTAGATGAGAGATGAGAATCTTGCTATCTACTTGACAGAAGTTTCTCTGGTAACAAAGTTAAATATTTCCAAAACAATTCTCTCTAAATATGGGTAGTACAATTTATTGGCGGTGTTTTCAAATTAGACAAAATAAGTACCAGTACAACAGTCAGATACCGTTGTGCACAACACAGGGGATTTAATATGGAAAAACAGAATGTGTGTATCAGTAACAGTAAAATAGGAATGATACTGCCATGATTCATCAACCTAAGATTTCCAACTAGCATTTAGAATGGGCTTGATGCTAAAACTCTCAGACCTTTCTTTGGAAAGTGCCTCTGAAATACTCTGAAGTATGCTTTTTATAAATTGCACAGCATTTAAAAAAACACACTGCCCTTATAAAGCCTTAAGGCACAAAACTTCCAGTTATATAAAACCCAGCTAACACACGTAAAACCATATCAAGAGGAACAAAATTAGCAAAACATTTAGAAATTTTCACTGATAGCACATTTGTGAGTGGAACATCTTGAATTTCAGCATGTTCATTTTTTTTTTAATTGGTGTTTTAATGAATACCACCTGCAGTGCCCATGTTCTCTGAAGAATCAGGTTCTAGAAATCAGGTACCACCTGGCACCAAAAAAGCTCATGAAGCTTTGCAGTGGTATGTAAGTGGCTTCTAACATGCTAACCCAGCACAGGAACATGGTATCCTCACATGCTGGCTTCTGGACTATGCTCTAGACAGAGCCTTTTCTCCAGAATAAACAGTCCAATAAGCCACTAAATTTTGTATTATGTAGTGCAAAAAGGACCCACTTCAATGGGATTAAGAACAACTCCCTGAAATACTCCCAGAACCAAGATAGTTAGTCCAAGTTACACAATCTCTCTCCTTCCACCCACAGAGGACGATGTTCTTTCTTGTGGGCTGAAAATTCTGCATAGGGCAATGGTCCAATTTGTGGATCTCAACTATAAATTCTACTGTAAGAATATCACTTCCATCCCTCACAGGTGATGCCAGGTGCCTGCCCAGTAAAATGGTGAGGGTCACACTGGTGCTTCAGATAAGCCACCCAGAGAAGCAAAGTGACCACCCTCAGATTCTCAAGCTATTCAGACCTGGTGCAGTGTTCTAGTCTAAACCTTACTAGGGTTATTATCAGAAAGCACTTTTGTACCTGAATGTAGCTGAAGGTGTTCCTTCAAAACACAAAAGCTTCAGCTGCTGACCTGTCAGCTGGCAGCCGTCCATCCATCCTGTTCCTCCTCCCTTGGCAGGGAGGAACAGTAGGAAAAGGAACGACCAGGGCCCTTGACACAACATATCTGGAAAAATCTCCCTCTGGATATAAACTGCCATTGCAAATGACCACCCTGAATGGCAAAACCCTGCATGCTTTTGTAGGCAGAAAAATCAAAGCTGGATCAACAAAACTGCTGAACAACAAAAAAATGACTGTGTTTATTCAAGATAATACATAGTGAAAAAAGCCTCACTGGTTCACACCTTAAAAGGTGCTGGTCATCTGCTCAGACCGCCAGCCAGAGGAGGTTACTGAGAATGCAAAGCTTAAGATTTCTCTTGCTGCTGAAGAAATTAAAAATGTAAAATTATCTGACATTTCTTTAGCCAAAATCTTTCTCTGTTCAAATACAACAAGTTAGCATCAAGACCCTGTCATCATCAGGCTACAAAAATGGGGTTTGTTCCACATCCTTGCAAGGGTTAAAACCACCAGAGAGTTGCCCTTAGAGTTGCAAACAGCTTCCACTGGCAGATCTCTGTGAGCATAATCTGTTACAAGATGAGAAAGTATTTCTGAATAGCAACCACCCTTTTCAGCAATGTAGATTTCCATGCAGAAACCATGGCACGTATGAGAGAAAGGGCAGCAGATAATGAGATTTTGCTGATGTTTCATAATCACAAGGACAGACTCAGGTGCAAGTGAGAGAGAGCACTTGATTATCTTGTAAAGGCAAGAAGTGATGAACAGGTTGGTCTGTCTGCTGCCACTACCCTGCATCCATGGTTAGCTGTCTCCTTTTCCTGCTCTCAGTCCTTCAGGAACTGCTCCAGTCATATCTGTCTGGCCTGAGCAGCCCAGTACGTCACCCTGTCTACCAGCAAGGAAAGTGCAGCATATCCTGAAATCAGGGCACGTGGTCAAATGTGCTCAATCAGTAGGCACATTTGTCTGAAGGGAATAGGGTTACCAGGCTACAGATTTCAGAATCTAGGTGGTAGGGATGATCCATTATTCCTCAAAGAAGGCAAAAACCAGGTGAGTGTCTGTCATCATTTCCTTCTCTCAGCATAATGGTATCACCTTCCACCGGGCTCACGTATTGGCAGAAGCAGTGTGTAACGTATATGGCTGTTGCCAAAACACATCCCAGGGCTGTACAGCCATCTCTGGAGCACAGCAATCAATTGTGCTTGCTGCAGCAGCCCATCTGCCCTGCTCCGTCTGTAGCACAGTTACACACACACTGTGCCCACGCTGCTGCAAAGCTCACTGGGGCACGGGACAGCCCCAGCCACGCTGACAACCTCACCCTGCCCACGGAAGTTAAACCAGCTGAGCAACGGGCATCTCTCCTCCCTATTCAGCAAGCAGCACATATAAAAATACATTAGAAGGCTGACACAGATTAGAGGGAAACCTAAAATGTGTCTATTGATGATGTGCTGCATCTACCATGACATGCATATTGTAATCTAGCGTCAAGCACTGCTTCCCATTCACTCCTCACACAGCTACAAACACAGAACGTTCACACAACTAGCGCTCTGGTACAGTACATGACCAAACACAAAACACATTCGTGACAACCAGCAATCCTCCCCCAGCCCAGGCACACGAGCCAGCCCTTACACTTAGCACCTACAGAAAGCACACAAAGAACACACCCCACAAACAACATCTCTACCATCTCCCTCCTTTAAACCGCCCCCCCTCTCCCAGTTCAAGCAGAGGCGATGGAGAAAGCAGCACAGGCAAGCAGCACACGCAGCCCCATCCCTCAGCACCCCACATCAGCTCCATTATGCTGACAGAATTACACATGCCACTGTGTGCAATATAAAACATCCCACCACTGCGACAGATGTTGGCACACACACACATCCCTTCCCTGCAATTCCATGCTATTTAGCCCAGAAAACCTGCTGCACACTCTCAACACAGAAATAAATTCTCACATACACCCCCCAGCATTTGGTGCCTGCTAACCTGTGTGTCAAATCCATTTTCTACCGAGCTGCTCTTCCTTGCTGGGAGGCCATCTCTTGCGTTTTCTTGTCCGTTGGAAGACTTGAGAGGAATCTGGCTGGAATACAATGGCTTCGTCACCTCCACCTTGCTCCCAAACTTCAGGTAACAGGGCTGTGGGATGGTCCTGGCCGTTGGGACATGCAGGATTGGAGCAGCACTGTGTACGGGTTTAGGTAGTCCCGATTTCATTTTGGAGGCTACCAGGATGGCTGGCATTTTCTCTTTCTGCTTTCCTAACACGTTTCTGTCAGCAGCAACAGCAGAGACAGCAGGCAGGGAGAGAGAAAATGACACGTTGGGGAAGCTGTTCTGTTCTAATGCAGCCTGGTTACTGCAGAGATCTCCAAAATCAGCTTAGAATTTAAAATCAACAATAAAACCAATTTTAAAAAAAATGTAAAAAGAGAAAGGAAAAAAAAGAAAAAAAAAAGAGAAGAACAAACACACCACTTTCAGTCTAAAATATCACCCAGCTTTATGCCAGCCTTCCACCTGTTTCTTCTAATTTTATTTTCAGTTCTTTACCACTGTCCTCTTTCCTATTTCTGCTATGTAACCTGCTCCTTCCTTTCTCTATCTGACTCCTGCAATTTTCTTGCCTGGAAATGAAAGACTTTCACTCCATTATCTTGTCACTGCATCTCCAAAGTGAGGCAGCCTTAGGGAAAAAAAAAAGAAAAGAAAAAAAAAAGAACCTGCTGCTGCATATGCTTCCCTTTCCGTATGCACTAGAGAGTGACCGAGCAGGATTTCCAGCTTAAGATGTCCTTCTTCAGTCTTAGCCAAGAAGCAGATGTAGCTCAGTGTGTTAATGACTGATGCCCTTGGATACAAGCCTTCGAGAATCAAGCTTCTTAAGCCTAAATAGCTGTGAATAGGACAACGATGCCGGAGCAGAAGGAGAAACGTCCACTGACAACGATTTTTAAATCAAAATATGTCAGTGGCCACAAAATTTCCCGGCTCCCCCAGTGCTGAGCATAAAAACCTGGAGGGGCGGGGGGTGGGGATGGGAAAAAAGAAAAGAGATTAAAAATGAAAGCGATTCAGCAGCGAGAGGGAAGGGAAAGCAGCCGGCAGCTCATGCTCCCTCCCGCAGTGGAGCGGGCTCCCGCCCTGCCCGCTCGGCGCATCCCGGGGGGGCCGGCAGCAGCCGGGCGGGAGGCGGCGGCTGGCCGGCACCGAGCGGGCAGGGCGGGCCGGGATTGGTCCTGCCCGCTCCGAGCAGGAACACAAAAAATAAGTAAATAAATAAATAAATAACCCAGAAATCGCACCCTCTCTCCGCAGGGGGAGGAGCGGCCTCGGCCCCCACGGCGGGCAGGGAGAGCTGCGGGGCGGAGGGGTCTGCAGGGATGGATGGACGCTCCGGGCGCTAGGCGGATGCTCCGGGGGCGCGGCACGGAGCAAGCCGGGTTTCTTTTTGAAATTTCAAAAAACAACAAAAAAAAAATTCAAATCAAAAAGGTGATTTATTGTTCGTGGCTGTTCGGGGAAACCTCCCGCTGCCAGCATCAGCAAGAATTTGAATAAGTGCAGTGAGTAATCCGGCCCTATTATAGCAACTCTTGGCTTTGGGGACGCTTTCAGTGTCACAGGTTCCTCCTCACGCTGCTCGGTGGATGCCAGGATCGGTTAAAAGCCCCGGATGCCGTGTTCCTGTTCATCCTGACACATTTCAGAGCTGCACACATTCCCCTTCCTGCGCACACCTGGCACCATCCCGGACAGTGGGAGACTGATTATCCCGGTGCCAATCAAGGCACCAAGTGATGCCTTTCAGACTGGGCGGGGGGGGGGCATGGGGGGCTCAGCACCAGGACATACAAAGCCACAGTGCCCAGTTAAGGCTTTGACTTATCCCTCACACAAGAAAGACATTGAGGGGCTGGAGTGAGTCCAGAGAAGGGAATGAAGCTGGGAATGGAGCACAAGTCTGATGAAAAGCGGCTGAGGGAGCTGGGAGGGCTCAGCCTGGAGAAAAGGATGCTCAGGAGGGACCCTCTGGCTCCCTACAACTCCCTGGGAGGAGATTGTAGTCAGGTGGGAGTCGGGCTCTGTTCCCAATCCACAAGTGACAGGAGGAGAGGAAACCTGAGGCCTCAAGTTGTGCCACAGTAGGTTCAGATGGGATATTAGATAAAAATTTCTTCACTGAAAGAAATTTTCCAGGCACTGGAACAGGCTGCTCAGGGAAGTGTTCACAAAACACATGGATATGGCACTTGGGGACACGGTTTAGTGGTAATATGGCAATGCTGGGTTAAGAGTAGGATTGGATGATCTTGGAGGTCTTCTCCAACCTTAACAATTCTATGATTATAGGAGGGTGTCTCAGAATAATATTCACAAAACCAATATGAGACATGGAAGCAAAAGGTGCATTTCAATCAAATCTTCATCACAGTTCCGGTTAATTGCATTATTTCCCTAGTAGCCTCCAACACTTCCAGGGATGGGGCATCCAGAGAAGCAATGAACCTACACCTGAAATGTCTGAAATACACACTGGGTGAAGCGACTCAGCAGGACAAAGGAAGCCCAGCCCCACTGCCCCTGCCCCATCCAGGCTGCGAGCAGTGCTTGGGGAAGGAAGGCTCAATCATGCTCAGTCATTCATAGCAGGGGGAGCTGGGACCTGCCTATTTAACACCCAATCTTTTCAGGAAGTTTTAAATGTGCAAACCTCAGTTTTTTAGATCTGAGACTCTTTCAGACAGAAAAAAGAGGCATTTCTTGGAATGTACTGTAGGTGTCTCCAGGATGAACGACAGCACTGCTGTTTCCTTATGCCGATGTCATCTTCAATGACTTACCCAAGGTTACACAGTGACTAAGTGACAGAACTAAAAACTGAAGTAAGAAATTGTGCTCTACTTATTATGAAGTATTATTCTTCCTCAACATTGCAATGTAAAATGTAATTCAAGTTCCCATACGTTCAGTTCTCCCATGTTCAGTCTTGGCTGTTGCTGGGATTTTTCAGCACATCTGCTTTCACCGTGGACCCTTCTGCAGGCTGTTTTGCAGTAACTACAAAAGGGTAAATGTTATTGTAGCTGTTTTTTTAAGTAACTGCTTCCACCTCAATCTCTTTATCCATCCACCAATTTCAGATGGGAAGCACACATCTCTCATCATCCACTCACTGAGATCCCACCAAGACAAATCTTCTAATGTTCTGCCATAACTGTCCACAATGTCAGCTTAAACACAGCTATATAAAACACTTCAAAATGCTACAATTCAATAAAGAATGTAAATTTACCATCTGAGAGGACTGGTAGTCCTTGGAGCAGAAATGTGTCAAATGCTCCAACACCATTTCCATCATTCCATGCTGAGAACTCAGCCCTGCTGGCTTAGAGAAGGTTGGGCTCCAGTATGAACATCTTGAAAAAGATCCAGGCCTGAAAACCAGGCTAATTTTAGATCTGTAATAAAATATAGTAAAGTTTAAAAGCTATTAGAAGATCTAACTGACAGCTTCACATTCTGTTCTTCACTTACACATTTTATGAGGTTCAGGCCACCAATCCCTACTGCACGCAACTTGCCAGTTTTTGTTGTTCTGTTTTTATCTTAGAAAACTGGCTAGGGTATGGGATACCAAACCAGCCACAAAGTTAATCTGACCAAAGGAAAAGGATTCCTTTCATTGCTCCCTTAACAATTATGGAAACTGATCCTTTGATGATGGTGGACACAACAGTTCCTTTGGACACTCAAAAGAGTTTTACTGACTTCTCAGCATGCCGTCCAACCTACTGAATATGATTTCTTCTGAATACACTCAGTGTATGATCCTGACAGATATTTTGCCATATCAGTGGACACTCATCATCAAAGCTTAATGTGAATGCCAGATAACACATTTGAAGAGTGACCTAGAATTACTGCTTCTCTCATGGATTCAGTTTGCATCTAACAGTCCTTTGTCATCCAAAACCTGGGGGAGTTTTTATGTTATACATATTTTGCTTTATATATCTAAACATCACAGCATAATGGCACTGAAATGCAAGCTGCTGTGGATAGATAGAATGTAAGAGAATAGAGATAGTGGTGAAGGTAATCTCACCCCTAAGGGGTTACAGCTGTGCTAATTATCAAGAATTAGGAACAGGCCTGCCCTTAATAGGCCACAGCTGGATCCAGTTAGGATGGGTATCATAAAAGAGTAGGTTGGCTAGTCAAGAAGGTTGGATGGAGTTTGTTGGCTGGGTGGAGAAGAAGGAGTCAGTGCTGCGCCCATGAGAAATCACCAAGAACGTAGGAAACCTTTGCAACAATATGGCCACAAGCTGCTGTATCCAGTGGCAGTGTAGTCACATGAGATCATAAATTGTATCACATTATAGGCTCTATCTGCAAAGACTGGCAACATCAATTTTGGTCTCTCTTGGAATTGACAAGTTTTTGGGTTGTCTGGGTTTTTGGTTTTGCTTTGGTTTTGGGTTATTTTTGTTGTTGTTATTGCTTAATAAATTAATTTTTGTCTGGTTTTAAGGCTAGGATTTTTAAAAGAAACTACTTCTCTTGGACAGTTAAAGGGATCTGGGAACCTGTCTCTTCTTTGAAAAGCCCAACCAGTTTTTCCTTCCCTGTTTTGAATCACCCAAATTTCTGTGTCTAAGGTAGGAGTAAGTAACGTTAAAAAAGAAGGCAAATTATCTAAACAAAAAGAAAGAGCCTCATTCCTTCCCAGAAGTGTTGGGTAAGCCTCTGACTAGGAGAAATTCCCTTGCAGCTTTAAGTCTGGTGAGTATCTTTGCCTGAATAACCACAACATCTCCTTATCTGCCTGTAGTCGCAAGAGCATCCACTCACTCCCCAAATGGGGAAATATGGAAGGAAAGATGCTATAAACAAGCACTTTACTTCCCTGTTAGAAAAAAAAAAAAAACCCACCAACACAATGAAACTACAATCATCCCTACTGATCTGGCTTACACAGCTATTTTGAGGTTCAGAAAGTGTCACTGCTTTAGACTCAAGCTGTGACTGCTCAGCACCATCGAGTGTCAGCTCAAGTGCCAAGACTGTGGTGTTGAGAACTGGCTTAATACTCTCAAAATTTTAGTGGGCAGGCTCATGTGAACTCAAGAACTTAACACACCAGAGGAAACTATTTGAATGCCCTGTAGCTCAAGAGCTTGTAGGAAAGTCAGCACATTGCCCAAAACAAAGCCAATAAAGAGAAGAAAGGCCCAGAGTTGACTGCTCTTGAACAGATGATCTTTATGAATGAGATGAACATTTCTGGAACAGTAAAACCATTGAAGCTGCCTCCACAGCTCACACATCATCAATTAACAACAAAACAGGGTCTCTATACCCAAGTGAAAAGAAAATGTCTGTATGAATTGCATGTGGGTATTGTAAGAAAAATTAAAAGCTTGATGAAATATTGCAAAAGATCAGAGAATTAGACCTTCCTTTCAACTTGTGGTTAATATTCATCCTCAACAAAGCCAAATGTTACATTAGCCTAAATAGAAAAACCATGTAGAATTATGCTATTAATTAGAACACCTCATTAGCTGGTCTGGTGATTCAGAACTGCTGATGGAACTGAACTCAAGGCTTGAAAATACCTTGTTCAACTCCATCCTCAGCATTAAGGATGGATATGCAATCTCCCAGAAAAATAATTTCAAGCCAAGGTGAATATTCCTAAAATGTCACCACATTGTCAGTGTGGTGTCAGAATCACACAGTGTCAGAAACAGAGGATTTAATTGTTCTCTCAAACCCATTCTCATCAAGCTTTACTGCTGCCAGGCAGCTGTCCTATAGACTGTGGGCATGTTCAGCCTTGGCACAGCTCCATCAACTTACGTGAAGTTATGACAGGAATAAATATGGATCTATTTTTGGTACTGCAGGCATTTTGCACATTCACATCCATCTTTTGTTCCTGATCAGTATCAAATACGGAAAAGGCTGATCCCATCTGTACATTCGCATTGCCGTTCTATGAAAGAACCCATAAGGGTGTAGAGGAGCAAAGGTGTAAACCCCATAATTTTTT